ATAGCTGTATTCTGTACAGGCCACCTGTGCCACTGTTAGTGGTCCTGGGCTCTGTCTGTGGTGATGGAGAACAAGGCACATGCTGCTCAGACAAGGGTGTTACTGAACAAGTAAGGACATGTCATAAAGTGGTGAAAAAACAGAACTTGGACAAAGCTGCCTTCTTGGTTGGTCAGATCAGAAATAGGACTTTTAATGGAAAACACTTGCCTAAGGTAAGCTTCAGATTCTGATGGAATCAGCTTAGTGGCTTTTAATAGTGTTCTTGTACAGAGAGATGCATGAATGAAAAGAGGTGATTTCAAATTCACAAACCATATCCAGAAGAAAATATAAATTAGGAGAAACATCCTCCTCTGAACTAGGCAAGATAAGCAAAAGCTATTAGGAAGAGGTGCCCCACAATGTCCCCGAAGGGAGTGGGGGAAGAAACAGCAGACAAGGAAAAGGAGGAGCTTGAGACAGGTGGACTATTTACCACCAGGGTAGTTCTCCAGAAGGGGTGGAAATTTATTCTCGGAGGCTATTAAAGAATGAACCCCCATCTATTTACAGTAGTTTGAACTACATCTCAATTAAAATACAGAAATATGACTAAGTAAGTGATTGAGGCAATATATACAATTGAGACGAGTTCTCTTTCAGATATTCCAAACAAATAACCACTTTCCACAACACAGGCATATGTGGAAAAGGGAAAGAAGAATAAATGCTTAATAATTTTTAGATATCTCAGAAGACTATGGAATCTGTGTATGCATTAACTCAGAAGTTTCCACAAGTCATATGGGAACACCACATAAAACAGGTTTACCATTTTGCGTAAAACCAATGACATCTGGAAAATGCTATAAATTTGGGGAATCAGATTTACCCTTCTGAAGTTCAATCTCCTTATCTAAAAATAAGAATAAACGTGTGCTCAGCTTACCTAACATAATGTATATGAAATGCATTTGTATAACACAGTGTATGTTCTTTGAATGTGAAGATATCTAAAAATAATAACTAACATTTGTTGAGAGTTTGGAAGAGGAGGGTGAATACCTAACAGCAAATCCTTGGTGCATACAAGGCACTGAAGGAAGTGACAAGGACAGGAGCCTATGGACTGCTGGTGAAAGCTCCCTCTTGTGGTCAAATGACAGAGCAGGAAACATCTAGGAGAGGAGTGAGAGAGAAAAAGATGGCGGCTGCGAAGGGGAGTCAGCTCCCTTTTCTATGTGGAGAATCCTCAGGAATTCAGATAGCTGAGCAGTCCAAGCTCTGCTGAGGATGGGAAGGAAGCACCCCCATGGGTCTCGCCATGATGTCAGGAAGACCTGTGAAGCTTCCGTGTAGACACATGGAAAGGTTCTCACACTTGGCTGAGCTGGCTGAGCAATTCATGTAAAGTTAGAAAGCTGGTAGCTTGAAGAAGGCCGTTTTCCAGCTTCGTTGTATACACTGTTGTCATGTGCAACATACTAATGCGTGTCTGAGGTGTGGGTGTCTGTGGTATTCAGCCATTACTCAAATGCTGGGAGGGGCCTGGGGGCAGTTGTGTGGGACACACAGTTGTAACTCCTTACACGGAACTGAGCTGGGAGGGAGGCACAGCCTGCATGAACACCGCCCTTATTTTACCAATTATCAAAAACACCAAGTTTTTAAGTAAACATGTACCACGGATGTGACTGTGAAGCGTCAGAAATAAAAGGTCTCACCCCTCTCTGACTAGACCATATATTATCTTAGGTCAATTTAATCTCAAGGCAACCGGACTGTGGGGGTATAAAGTGACGGAAGACTTCTTGTGTGGCACTCGAAACCCATATTTATTGCTCCTGAATGACTTCACTTTTGTCCTCTGACCCTCTTGAGGAGATCTGAAGAGGCTCATTTTCTCACAGGTTAACAGAGCTCTGTGTGCACGTCACTCGCTCCAGTTATCCTTCCCCCGAGGAGAACGGCTCTGGCTTTCTTTGAAGCTTACGAAAAAGATCTCTTCATGGGTTTCCCATATAAGTCCAGTCATTTTCTTGCTTTCTCCCTAAGACTTAAACTCTCAGGAGTATTTATGTGTTCTGTTCTCTCATAAAAAAAACAAACAGCACCCATTGCTTTGGGCTTGGTAAGAATGTACCTCATAATAAACAGGACGCACTATAAACAGCACTAGCATTCCAACCACATCTGACAGAATTCCCTCCCAACATGCCTGGCACCACAGTCTCTGGGTCTGGGTGTCACTGGATTGGGCTGTCAAGGTGAATCCAGAGATAGGAGCCTCCCACTCAGACTTATGGTAAAATAGTATTAAAGACTTAACCAGAACACTGCACACCATTCAAAAAACTTAGTACTTCAAAGCCCTTGGTGTACATAATCACCAATTAGACTTTAATTGAATAAAGTGAACCTTCCTTCCACTTCAATTTAACTGATAACTTTTTCCCTGCAGACACCTCTTCTCTCTAACCACATGTCTTGTCATCTGGCCCTCTCAACAGTCCTAAGAGGCAGGCAGTCTCATTCCAATTTCACCCAAATTTTACCAAGGGAAAAACACAGCCTGAGGGTTAAATAATTTATCCGGATCATGCAGTAAAATGGCAAAGCAACGTAGGAAATTAAGTTCAGGCTTTTAGAGGATTGTTTTCTTCCCATTCTCTTGTCCTGCTTCCTCCAGATGTGTTAGATGGTGGCCCTCTTTCTCCTGATGGTCATGAGGCCATGGAGAGGGGCTTTTTGTTCAGTCACTTGTGCTCCAGGGAAATACACATCTCCTGGTTGTGCCGCCCCCTCCAGTGCCGACCACAGCAAACTGACAGGTTCTTCTTCACGTTTTCAGTAGCTCTAGCCCTTGTCTCACAGCTTTTCTTTATTCTCAGTCTCTGCCCTCATCACACGTGACTCAATATTTGCATGGATGACCCTTACAGTCTTAGTCTCTTTTTCTCTCAGCTTCCCAGAGCCCCTAAACCATTGTGTTCATTATTCTTTGGAAACCCTTTGTTGCTCCACAGGTCTTCCTCTCATTCTGAACTGGAAAGCCCTTTTTGATCCAGGCTTATTTTTTCCCGTTTCCCTCTGCTTTCCTGCTTCCAGGGAATGTGCTTTTCACTCACACTCTGGTTGCTAGGTCTCAAAAGTTACACCCTAAGCGTGGACTGGAAGGAAGAAGGATCCATGGCTGGAAGGCTGCCGATGACAGCAGAAAGGCTGGGTGACATCAGCAGCCACAAGGTGGAAGGCTCTGGTCAGAGAGCACAAGGGCTTGAAATCATGGTTTTGAAGGTAACAGGAGTTCAGGAAACCTTTACATTCAGCACTGTTCTTGTGCTAGTGGTGTCAGGAAGGAGGAAGGGAGTGGCTGTGTCCAAATGTAAATTAAAGTGGAATGGGAGAGGCCGGGGCGTGGTGGATCATGTCTGTAATCCCAGCACTTTGGGAGTCTGAGGGGGGTGGATCATGAGTTCAGAAGTTCAAGACCAACCTAGACAAGATGGTGAAACCCCTTCTTTACTAAAAATACAAAAATTAGCTGGGCACGGTGGCAGGCGCCTGTAATCCCAGCTACTCAGGAGGCTGAGGCAGGAGAATTGCTTGAACCCGGTTGGCAGAGGTTGCAGTGAGCCGAGAGCACACCACTGCACTCCAGCCTGGGCAATCGAGTAAGATTCTATCTCAAAAAAAAAAAAAGAGGAATGGGAAAGGGCAGTGGGCTCTAAAAGCTATTACTACACAGCAAGAGGTAATTAACAGAGGAGCCCAAGCTGGCTGCCCATGAAAAAGAGACCATGACCACAATAACCAGGAGACATGGGGCTCCATGGGGACACTCAGAGCCTCAGGAGGCCACCAGATTATGTGCAGCCATGTGGGGTGGGAGCTTGGGTAATTTTTGAATATTGATGGGAAAGGTGTTCTCAGAAGGTGAGAGAATGTGAGTAAACTAGGCTATGTGTAACACATCTTTCATTCAGTCAGCATGACTATTTGTTATCCTTCTCAAGGTTTTTTTTAAAAAAAATCCACCATAATCAGATTATAGAGCCTAAATTGCCATGTTTTATCATCTTATTCCCCAGCTTAAAACTTCATCAGTCCCAATGCCTCAGCAAGTACTTAAGATTAGCTGAAAATCTACCTCTCCAATCTTATTTCAATTTCCTTTCATCATTTGGTTTGTAAACTATTTTCTTCCCCCCCCAAACCAATGATGACTTTTGTTCTTCCTCATTCCATGCATCCCATGTGTCTAATAATTTTGCTTTCCAAATTACACTTAGGTTATGTCACTTTTGATTTTTAAATTAAAGACATACGTAACTGTCAACTAGAGTGTCAGATCAACATGAGATAACAAAGCTTACTGAAGTATAATAAGATGATTTCACTCAAAGAAAATAAATTTTAGGTTCTCGTTGGACTGCATTGGGAAGGTGATAAATATGATTTGGGGCAGCTTTCTGAAGCACTACGCTAAAACTAGTTTAGGATATCTACAACCTGTATTCTTGGTCCTCTGGGAGTCTGTGGACCTCAGATTGGGTAGAAGATTCCACATGAACTCCTTTTTGGCCAGGCCCATCTCATTTCCTGGTCCCACCTCTGTGCTTTTGCTCACGTCTCTGCCTTTACCTTTTTGAACTCTACCTTCTCTTTGAGCGGAAGTTTAAGTTCCACCTTCTCTCAGGAGTTATTTGTTGTTTTCCCCAGTCCATATTTCGCTCTTGCCCATGAATGATGTATCATACATTTTTGTGCCATTAGTTTGCAGAACACAGGCTTTGGGTTGTTAGCAACCTTACGTGCTTATGTATTTGCTTCTAAGTTGGATTTTTAACCCCTTGAACACGGGAAAAATAATTCTTACAAATTTGTTTTTTCCTGCCCATATCATAGCACCTCCTTCAGTAAATATTTGTCCATTGTAAACTACCATTCTATTTTTTTTTTCAGGAGTCATGACAAAGGATTGAAATTAATTTTTGTCAAATAATGTTCTCTCCTACCTAGCCAGCAAGTCAATAAGTTCAAGTTTTGACATCCCATCAGGAAGCAGTCGAGGAATAGCAGCAACACAGGTCCTGAAAAGATCTATTTTTGGCTTTCTCTCACCCCTAGAATTAGAAGACAAAATTTAAAAATAGGACAAAAAGCTGTGAAAATAAAAACAAAATGAATTAAGTATTTGAACAAAGATTAGAATCCATGATCTCTGATTCACAGCCTGGTGTTGGCTTCATATTATTCTTAAACGTTTATGCCCTTTGTAGCTTGACCAGTTCTAATAAAACTTTAAGTAATTTACATGTAAGACAGACATATATATTTGAAAAGAAAAATGCTGCTATCAATAGTATTTTACCATGGGTTTGCCCTTTAGTTGGGTCTAGTCCAGTTGCATTTAAAATACCAGAATCACAGAAATAGCCAAGTGCATCAGCATGAAGAAATGTATTTCATTCATTCCTACATCCAGCATTTAAAAATGGAAATTTTATATATACAAGGAATGGTGCTTTTGTAATTGTGACATCTAGCAGCTTCTTTCCCTGATGAGTTATGCTTCTCCCCTAGTGTCCCTTGTCCTGTTTTTAAAAAATTAAATGCTTCCAAAATAAATCTTTCATAATAAGTAAAATCCTGAAATGTATATAGTTGTGCACCCATTTCTAACTTTTAAAATGACACCGATGGGTCTGACCTATATGGAGATATCCTTCTCTATTTTTAATTAATTTCTTGAGAATATGAATGTTTAATGATAATTAAC